TCAGAAAAATGCCGCAAACTCGTCAAAAAAATCTGAAAATCTGGGCAGATTTTCAGATTTTTAGGTAGCCGACTTCGTAGGTATATTTCGGCCGAATTCCTTGGAGTTATGGGGAGATTTTTGGTGATAATTGAAGAGGACATTATGGGCTTTCCAACAGTATCCAAATCCGGCGGTCTTGGCAGTCGGAAGTTGCAGGAAAACCGCCACAAAACTTGCCCACAAAATCTGAAAATTCAGTGACCGTTTGTGAAAGAAATTTAAAATTCAGTGACCGTTTCTGCAAGTTTTAAAGTTCAGTGACCGTTTTGTAATTTTCAGGTAATTTTAGTGACCGTTTGTGAAATTAACCCATTCAATTTCATATCTCGATGTGAAATAATTTTAGTTAAAAAAATTATTGTTCTAAAATTTTTTGTAATGACCGCAATAACTAAAATAAGTATCTCTACGATTTATACTAAATTGTCGATTTTTACTATGTGGTCTAAACAAATAATCTGCATCATTACGTAATTATTGTTCACGAAATCAATGCATTAGTGGTCAATTAATCCAAGCATTAAGAAAAGAAGTAGGACTCGGGTGGCCCGTGGCTCGGCTCGCAGTTCGATTCTACCGAGCTAAAGCTTTGGTCGAGCCACATTTTGGAGCGCTGGCCCGAGCCGCCCATGTGACTCGACAAGCCACGCTGGCCGACCGGTGAGCAAATTTTTTTTTATAAAAGAAAACATATAAATTTGTATACAGATAGCAGTTGCTGCCTGCTTTGGCATCTACTTGTAGAAAAATACTTGTATTGATGTTATTGGAGGCAGACACATAGAGGTGACAGTCTGCCTCTACTGTGGCTTGACCCCGGAAAAGCCCGAGCCAGCCCGACCCGGCTCGCGGCTGGGTTCTACCAAGCTAAGGCTCGGGCTGAGCCCCATTTTAGAAAGTCGGCCTGAGCCAAGTGAGCTTGTGTGGCTTGACAAGCAAAGTTAAAAAAAAAAAAAAGGAAAAAATAAATAAATTTGTATACAGGCAACAGCTGTTGCCTACTTTAGCAGCGTCACATAGAAAAATACTTATACAAGCCCGAGCCACGCAGAGGTAGCAGGTTGCCTCTTTTCATTAATATAAAAAAATCAACATGAGCTGGCTTGGTTCGATAAGGTCAAGCCTAGATTTTTTAGTCGAGCAAAAGCTCGTCTTGGCTCGGACCAAAAAAACCTGAACCATTTTTATTTGAACCAAGCGCGAGCTACGAGTTTTGGCTCTGCTCATTGGCATCCCAAAATAGAAGTAAAAGCAATTCACAAAATCAATTGAGATTTAAAACCTTTTAATTAAAATTAAGATTCAAAAAAAGTTGATTTTAGATTTTTGAAGTAAAAACAATTCCCACAATTTATTTTAGATTTAAAAGTATTTAATTAAAATTAAGATTCAAAACTAAGTTACAATCATTCATCCTAATTAACTACTTAATTACACATCATGGGAGAATAAAAATACAAGAAGGAATTAAAGTACATTACCGACTATTAAGGAAAAAGGGGAAAAGATGAAGATCTTGCTCCAAAATTTCGACTTCTTCTGATTAAATCTTGAAACCTTAGCTACTTGATTGATTTCTCGATTTTTCCCTTCTTTTTGACTTAAATAATATATGTACAATGAATCCAACAAGCCTTGTCTTCAATATATGTGCCTAATGAAATCTTACAACACCCTTTAATTGTTGGACTATGTTGTGTATTAATAGAACAAGATTTATGCAAAGTTCTCGTTCAAATTGATTTTCACCAAAGAGTTCGAATCATTTTCTATCAACGAGTTTAAAAAATAAAAGGAAACAAAACTCATTTTCTCATGTTGACTTTTGTCATTCCTCTTCTTTTATTTTGCCATTAAGTTCTCTTCATTTCAAAATCATAATAGTTGACCCGCGACAAGTTTCACAGTTCGTAATTTAGTCTTCAAACTTTCCACGTGTTGAATTTAACTCCCGAACGGTTGAATTTTTACCTAATGCTCCTTTAATACTTTCAATTGATCTCTTGCAATCTAGTTAATCTTCAATTGTTTCAAATCAATTCCAATTAAGCTCCAAATAACCTCTTTTCATATAGATTGTATCGAAGTTGGGATTTTTCCTATAATTAACATAATTTACACAAATTAAGTACATAATCGCACAATTTATTTATAATTAAATAATAATAGAAACCTAAATAAGTGCATAAAATACATTTATCAACTGCCTACTACTACTACATACTAATTAAATAGCATTGAAAGTAGTATTTTATGAATTATCATTTGCCATTGTAAAAGTTAATTTTAAATTTATGCAATTATCTTTCGTAAATAATTTGCACAAATTGCCGTCATTATAGACTCGTTCAAAATCGTGTTTTTCAGGAAGCCATGAAAATCAGTTTGACAAGTTGCCCAATTCTTTCTATTGACCAAAAGGCCTCATTCAACTAGTCAGAGTCAATCCCCTCGCCCACCTGCTTCAACTATATCTGTCATTTGCCCTCAAACCTCCCTTACCAAATCTGTATTCTTTATTGTTTTAAACAAAAAATGGATATAGAAGAAGAAAAAGAAACCCAGTTCTTTGGAGTCTTTAAAGAATCATTGAACACAGTTTCTTCGCGGAGAAAATTTTTCGGCCTAATTACCTTGAGCTTAATCCTCCCTCTCTCCTTTTTCTACATAGGCCACATCCAAATTTCAACACTTCTGTTTACAGATATACTGCTCAATGCACACATATTGGAGGGATCCTCATTATATAATGATATTTCATGTATTCTATCGACCAAGTGGACGACCTTTTTTTTGTTCAAGATTGGCTACTCGATTTTCTTTATCAATCTTGCCCTTCTTTCGACATCTGCAGTGGTTTACACAATCGCCTGCATTTATACTGCCAAAGAAACTAGCTTGAGAAAGTTCATGAGTTCGGTTCCAAAGGTTTTGAAGAGGCTTATGGATACATTCATCTGGAATTTCGTTATTCTTTTGGCTTACAATATCATTGCATTCTTGATCTTCAGTTTTGGTGTTGTTTTGTTCGGTTCATATACGTATACTCTGGCGATTTTCGTTATTATGCTTGTCACTGAATACTTGAGTGGACTGGTAACTATCACCATAATTTGGCATTTGGCCACTGTCATTTCAGTTTTGGACGAATGGCCAAAACTCAGGCTCTGATCAAGGGAAAAATGGCGTTGGGTATATGTTCAAATGTATTATTCAACATTATGTTTTGGATAAATAAATATTAATTTAAGATTATCTGATTTTTATGTAATATCATTTAAATTGAGTATTTAAGTTGTTAAGTACACATAGATTCAATTTATAAAGTGATCAGGAAAAATGGTCCCCAACTAGTAAATAAAGTTGAACATTTGATTTTGTTAAGGTCGTATTTTATTAAAATTTATCTAGACTTTGGTAATAAAGATAATAATAATAAAACTGATTGGACATGATCAACGAACATTTAATACTGTAACAATGTCATTGACAGTCAAACGTTCGTCTGAATCATGAACGGATTATGAACCTTAAACATTGAGTTTAATTATACAATCAATACCTCATTACCTTGATAATTAGAATGAACTAATTAACATACATATTTTTCATAACATGGAATTTGTCACCTATTTTTAAAGGTATACCATTAACGCAAGTATTTTTCTAACCGGCAATTTAATACGAATTTAGTAGTTTAACAATATTATTCTTAAACTCAATGTTGTGACGAAAACACAAGAAATTGCGCGAGTGAAAAATGGAACTTTTGATATTAGTATAAGTTAAAGTTCAATGGCTGAAGAAGAGATAGTAATGAACCGTATTAATATTGATAGAGTTAATAGAATTTATAGTGTATTGTATTGTCACAAAAATAATCTAGAAACTAAGGCTGTTAGGCAGCTCCTGATTTTATGGATCGTGTTGGGAATCTTATACAACAGAATGTGGTCCAAAAAACAGCTAGGAGAGAACGGCATTGACATCAAGGGTGAAGGATGCTGAATCACCAATGATCAGGACATCAGCTGGAGCTCAAGCATGGCTGAAGTGGATGATGTTAATTCTTAATACCATCCTTCAAGCTGGACAGCACGTAGGTGACTCCAAGCTTGTCCTTCAAGTAGAGAAATCTCGAGTGATTCAGCCCTTTAGTTAGTAGGTCTGCAATTTGATGTGAGGTTGGTACATATTTTACTTCCAACTTCTTTTCTAGCACCTTATCTCTGATGAAGTGAATGTCCAGTTCTATGTGCTTTGTCCTAGCATGATAAACTGGGTTTGAGGCTAGAGCTCCTGCACTTATATTGTCACACCACATAATTGGAGTTCCAGCTAAAGGGGGTTCAACTTCTTAAAACAATGACTGTATCCATGCCACTTCTGATGCAGCGGAAGGAAGTGCCCTGTATTCGGATTCAGTACTTGAACGAGCCACTACATGTTGTTGCTTTGAGGACCACGATATCAAGTTGTTACCAAAATAGATGCAATACCCCGTTGTTGATCTTCTATCATCTGGACACGAGGCCCAATCAGCGTCACAGTATCCATTTAAGCTCAAACTCTCACTTCTTTGAATCCATAATCCATGGTTTATAGTGCCCTTCAGATATCTTAAAATTCTTTTTAAGGCCTGCCAGTGAGTGATGGTTGGAGACTGTAGAAATTGACTTAGCTTGTTGACACTGAAGGTAATGTCTGGTCTGGTGTGTGCGAGGTATTGCAAAGCCCCAACTGCACTTCTGTAGAGAGATGGTTTTACCAATAATTCACCATCAGACTTAGAGATGGTTTTGCCAGCAGGGATAGGTGTAGGACATGCCTTTAAGTTTTCCAGCTCAAACCTTTTGAGAAAATCAGCAATGTATCTGGCTTGAGTGAGATGAATGCCAGAATTATGCCTCACTACTTCAACTATAAGAAAGTAATGTAGCCTTCCAATATCTTTCAATGCAAACTTCATGTTAAGTGAATTTATGAAGCCTTGGACCAGGTCTTTATCATTCCCCGTTATAACTATATCATCTACATAAATGAGGGCAAAGATTACCTTCTTTTCATTTTTGAAATAGAACAGAGAAGTATCTGCAACAAACTGCCTGAATTTCCAACTCAAAAAGGTTGCTTTCAACTTGTCATACCAGGCCCTAGGTGCACGTTTCAATCGATAAAGGGCTTTTCGAGCTTGCAAACGTAATTAGGCCTTGTTTCATCCACAAAACCCTCTGGCTGATTCTTGTAGACAGTCTCTTCTAATTCTCCATTCAAAAAGGCGTTGTTAATATCTACTTGTCTAATGATCCAATCCTTTGCAATTGCTAGAGTAAGTATTATACGTAGTGTTGATGGCTTAATGACTGGACTAAAGGTCTCATAGTAGTCAAGTCCAGGTACTTGATGAAAGCCCTTTGCTACTAACCTTGCCTTTAGCCTCTAAATTGATCCATCAGAATTTTGATTGATCTTGAATACTCATTTGTTTCCCACTATGTTGTAAATAGGTAAAGGGAGTACCAGCTTCCAAGTTCTGGTTTTAGTTAATGCATTGAATTCATCTTCCATAGCCCTCTTCCAATCTGGATTCATCATTGCTTCTTTAACACTCTTAGGTTCGGATAGTTTTGAATCATTTCCAGTTGACTTTGCCAAGTAACCCTTTGGTTTGAATATCCCTACTTTCCCTCTAGTTACCATAGGGTGTTGATTCTGAACCCTTGGCCTCTCCTGGATCTGGTTATCAACTGCTTGTTGAATGTTCTCAGTTCTTTCACTTTCCTCCAACATGTTGGATGTTGGTTCAATAGATTATGGTTCAAGGTTACCTTCAACTTCAATTCTATCAGCTTCATCAGAGTTGTTGTCATGAAAATCACTTTCCTGTTGATTGTCACTTAAGTTTGAAGGTAAGTGATGCTGTCCATGGGCTGCTTCAGTCTGAGCTGTATCAAGGGAACTTGAAGTGGAATTGTTTAGATCAGATGGAAGATGTATATAAGGAGTAACTATTTCAAGTACTGCAAACTGAGATTGATTTTCGACATTGAACAAGGACTCAAAAAGGAACTCAAATTTATTGAATATAACGTATCTTGATATGTACAATTTTCCTGAAGAGTTCAGACATTTATAACCCTTGTGAGAATTGCTGTATCCAAGGAAGATACACTTTGTAGAGTGGAAACTGAATTTGTTTTTCTGATATGGCCTTAAGCAAGGAAAACAGGCACACCCAAAAAGTTTTCAAGTCTTCATAGTTGGGTTTTCTTTTGTACAGGGTTAGATAGAGAGATTGCTGGTTAAGTACAGAAGTTGGCAGCCTATTTATGAGGTAAGTAGCCGTGTGAAAGGAATCCCACTAGAATTTTAAAGGCAACTGAGCCTGAGCCGGCAAAGTTAAGCCTGTCTCAGTTATGTGTCTGTGCTTTCTCTCTATTCTACCATTTTGGGATGAAGTATAGGAACATGGATGCCTAAATTCGATTCCTTCCCGTGTTAAAAAATTAGAGAAAACTTTGTACTCTCCCCCCCAATCAGCCTGCAGGGTTATGATTTTTTGATTCAATTTCTTTTCAACAAGGTTTTTAAATTGGCTAAACACTTTGAAAGCTTCGGACTTCAGTTTTAGGGTGTAGATCCATGTAAAACGGCTGAAGTCATCTAAGAAGGTTATGTAGTATTTAAACCCTGAGGTCGATAGTACTAGTGTAGGTCCCCATATATCAGTGTACACTAATTCTAAAGGTGATTTGGCATGTGATGAAGATAGAGAGAAAGGTAACAGATGAGATTTGCCAAGTTGACGTGCATTGCAAAAAGATTTGATGGTATTTTCCTTTGCTTTCAGATTACAGACTTTAAACACTTGAGTCATCACTTGGCTAGACGGATGACCAAGTCTATTGTGCCATACACCAACATTTAACGACTCTTGACTCGAATTCACTAGGGCACTGATAGGAGATTTTTGATTGGAATTAACTAAAGACTCTTGACTAGTAGGGACTGAGGAAATGTTGCAGCAGAATTTATTTGGGAAGCTTGATTGATGAGAGAGTTGATTGGTACTTTGAAGGGGGAAGTCCAGTTGATACAGCTCTTCCTTAAGTCTCCCTTGTAGCATCATCTCCTTTGTTGCCATGTCCTTAACAAAACAACAATTAAAGTGAAATTCCATAAAAACTTGATTGTCTGAAGTAAGTTGAGAAACACTAAAGAGGTTTTTCTTTATTTCAGGCACATGTAGAAGTTTATTTAACACCAGTGTTTTATCATTTAGAGCAAATATATGTGAGGTTCCAATGTGTGAAATGCTTAACTTAATTCCATTTCCCACCATGACTTTCTCGTTACTAGTGTACTCACTTGCTGAGGCTATGTTTGCCTTATTAGAGGTGATATGGTTGCTCGCTCCTGTGTCTACAAACCAAGCTGGGTCACTTATTGTGTTAAGAGTTGCCAGGAGAGCACCAGGTGGTGAATTGTAGTTGATCCTCTGATGAGGTGAAGTGTCGGTGTACCTTTCATTGTATCTAAAGTTATATATGTTTGCCTTATGTCCAACTTTCCCACACGCTTGGAAAATGGGCCTTTCACTTCCAAATGTACTGACTCCTCTACTCCTTCCTCTTTTTCCACTTCTGTAGTGGTTGAAGTTAGTAAATCTTCCTCCAGTACTTGGCCTATTGGATCTGAAATGATGATGGCCATAACCAGATCTCTGTGAGATATTTTCTGAGGTTTGATCAAGGTTTATCCCAGCCATTTCATTTCTGATAGAGTTGAGATGTTCCAATCGACTTTCATAAGTCATCAATGTGGATTGGAGTTCACCCCAGGAGATGTGATCCCTGCTATTTAGCTGAACAACTATTGGTGTATAGTCCCCATCCAGCCCAGCCAGAACTTGGGTTATCAAGTCAGTGTTAGTAATGGTCTTTCCAGCGATTTCAAGATTATCAGCAATCTGTTTCACTATATTCAGATACTGGTCGATGCTCATATTACCTTTCCTTGATTTCAAAAGTTCACTTGTAAGGAAGGTAATCCTTGATCTGTTCTGCACTACATAGCTCTCTTCAATGGCAGTCCACAATTCATTTGAGTTGGCTGCACCCATCACCCTCATTGCAATGTCTGGTGTCATAGAGGAATAAAGCCATCCCATC